CTTAGTGTTCTTGTTATTGTTATTATTCTTTGTTTTTCTTCTCATGGCATTTATAGTTGTGACTATTCTTCCTATGATGCTTCCTTTTGCTACAATATGGTTACTGAGCTGCCGAGGAACGTTCTGGATGGCGTCGTTGACACTCCTGGGCGGCTCGGCCCCTCTCTTGGCTGGGCGTGCTGGGGGGGGGGGGTGGGGGGCGGAGCTCGCCTCCCAAATCCTAAACCCTAAACCCTAAACCCTAAACCCCAAACCCTAAACCCCAAACCCGATGCTTCCCAAAACTAAAGTTCGCTATCCTCTACAACTCACTTCGAAACCCGAACAACAACTCACAAAGATGAGAAAGCCCAAGCTCAAAAAACCCAAAAGCCCTAGGATCCTAGAACCCCGAAGCCCTCAAACGCAAATGACTTGGAAGCTCAAGAAGCAGCTCAGGCGAGTCCTGGTGATGACAACGAATCACCCGGAGAAGCCCCTTGGCTTTTAGGGTTTAGGGTTTAGGGTTTAGGGTTTAGGGTTTAGGGTTTAGGGTTTAGGGTTTAGGGTTTAGGGTTTAGGGTTTAGGAATTACGGTTTAGGGTTTAGGCTCTAGGGACTAGGGTTTAGGGTTTAGGGTTTAGGGTTTAGAATGGATTCGAGGCTCGGGGTAGGACACGTCAGAAAGCTTGGAGAGGTCGGTGCGGGCAGGAGGGTTTAGGGTTTAGGGTTTAGGGCCCGAAAAGACCCTTGCCTGTCAGAACCCTCTCAAAGCCAACAAACCTTGGAGCCCTCAACACCCCAAACCCTCAACCCGACCAGCCGAAGCCCTGAAACCCTCAAACCCTGAACAGCAACCTCGAGACCTTAAACCCCAAAAAACACCGCTTTTACAATAAACCCTAAACCCTAAACCCCAAACCCTAAACCCTAAACCGAGACATCTCCAGGACCCTAAAGCCTTACGCCCTCAACCCCAGAACCCCCGAGCACCCTGCATACCCTGAGTACTCATGAAACCCCGGGTCTAGGGTTTAGGGTTTAGGGTTCCCTCAAGCCCTGAACACCCCAATTAAGCACCTTACACATGCTCCCCTCAAGTACCCAAAGCCCCTTCAAACATCAGATACCCTGAAGGCGCTACACGCCCTAGATGCCCAAACAAGCCCTTTGCGCGACCCTAAACCCTAAAGCCTAAACCCTAAACCCTCCTCAACCCCATTGAATCCCAGGCTCGACCCGGCCCTGATCCGGCCGGGGAGGATCAACAAGCGCATCCACCTGGGCTTCGTGGAGTCTAGGCTTTTGGAAGGTGGTTTAGGGTTTTGGGTTTAGGGTTTAGGGTTTAGGGTTTAGGGTTTAGGGTTTAGGGTTTAGGGTGTAGGGTTTAGGGTCTTTGGGGGGGGGGGGGGTTCTGTGGGCTAAACCCTAAACCTTTATGCTCCCAAACTCACAGCTCCGACAGCTTCACTGACAGCCTTGTGGGCCTTTAGGGTTTAGGGTGTAGGATTCAGGGTTTAGGGTTTAGGGACGCTCCCCCCAGAAACTCCAAACCCTGCCCCGGCAACCCCGAAAACACCAGGCCGAGACCCGAATCCTAAGCCCCGAACACTCCATGGGGCTTTGTCTAATTTACAGTCCCTTTGGGGGGTCTAGGGTTTCTGGTTTAGGGTTTAGGGTTTAGGGTTTATGGATTACCGGGTTCCTTAGCTACAATGGTGCAGAGCCTTATATGTAGGGTACCCAACAAAAGGCCCGTCCTATAGAGAATCCCCACAGTCTCCACATCCTAAACCCAAATTAAAACGTGAGCCCTGGACTCTGAATTCCTGAACCCGAAGCGTTTAGGCGGTCTCAGCGTGTAGGGCTTGGAGTTAGGGTTCAGGGTTCAGGGTTCAGAGTTCAGGGTTCAGGGTTTAGGGTTTAGGGTTTAGGGTTTAGGGTGTGGGTTTAGGGCTTAGGGCCTGTGAGCGCGCAACTCTTTGCCAAGGACACCGAGACCCTGCTCCTCATGGCCGCTAGGATGCAGTAGAACCCGCAGCCCCCTTTGGAGGTCAGGATCCGGGGTTTTGTTGAACCCTCCCTATATCCTAAGCCCGAAGCCCTATGCACCAAACCCTAAACCCTAAACCCCAAACCCTAAACCCTAAACCCTAAACCCTAAACCCTAAACCCTAATCCCTCAACCAACCAAAGCCCTAGGCGAAGCACTACATCTGCCGGGACGTAGAGCTGCCCCCGCACGCTGCGAGCGAAGCGGAGAAGTTGCGGGGTTGAGGTTTGCTTGCGGTTTAGGGTTAAGGGTTTGGGTTAGGGTTTCGGGGCTTAGGGTTTGGGATTTCGGGTTTAGTTAGGGTTTGGGGTTTAGGTTTTGTTGTTTTTGTGGTTTTGGGCCTAGGGTTTGGGATTCAGGGTTTGGTTTCAGGCTTAGGGTTCAGAATGATGTGGGGCAAGGGCTCCTGCTTGTTTCTGCGGTTCAAGCGCATTTGGGGGTTAGGGTCATGGTCTTGGATTCGGCATTTAGGAGTTTACAAGTGTGTTTGGATGAAAGGCTCACATGGGTTGGGCTGTGCAGGGTGTTTAGGGTTTAGGCTTTTGGCCATAGGGGATATTCAGCAAGGGTTTGGTTTTTCGGGATTCAGGGGGGGGGAGGTGTGGATAACTCAACAGACCATACCCAACTTCCCCGAGCCACCCAAAGTGAATGGTGAAACGGGGCTCTGCGGCTCTGCACAAAATCAGCAAGTGAATCACCTGACCCTAGACCCCGAAGCCTTTCTCGAGTCTGAAGGAAGGCTTCTCTTGAGTAGGGTGTCGATGGCGAAGGGTTGTGTTTAGGCTCTAAGCTTTCGTGTTTGCAGTTTGCACGGTTCAGCTCGGATGTGAAGCCCTATACCCTAAACTATACCCTAAACCCCAAACCCAACCCTAAACCCCGCATCCCGAACCCTAAACCCCCGAAGGGGACCTCTTTTTTTGTTGGCCCTTTATTTTCTGTTGCCCCATTTTATGCCCTAAACCCTAATCCTGCACCCACCCCCCCCCCCCCCCCCCCCCCCAAAAAAAAAAAAAAAAAACAACCAAATGAGGAAAATCAAAAAACAATAATAAATGAAGAACCGAAAAAATAGAAGGGCCCAATAAAAAAATGCACTCAACCCCGAACCCTAAACCCTATTTCCTAAACCCTAAATCCTAAACCCTAAATCATAAACCCTAAACCCTAATTCCTAAACCCCTAAATCCCAAACCCTAAGCCCTAAACCCTAAATCCCAAACCCTAAACCCTAAACCCTAAACCCTAAACCCTAAACCCTAAACCCTAAACCCTAAACCCTAAACCCTAAACCGAACCCTAAACCCTAAACCCTAAACCCTAAACCCTAAACCCTAAACCCCAGGCTTTGCAGCTCCGGTCGCGGTATCACGCCCGCCTGGGTGGAGCAGTGCTCTGCGGAATCGGAGGACGGCTGGTGGGAGCAGAGGATGCCCCAAGGGTTTAGGGTTTAGGGGTTTAGGGTTTAGGGTTTAGGGTTTAGGGTTTAGGGTTTAGGGTTTAGGGGTTTAGGGTTTAGGGTTCAGGGTTTAGGGTTTAGGGTTTAGGGTTTAGGGTTTAGGGGTTTAGGGTTTAGGGTTTAGGGTTTAGGGTTTAGGGTTTAGGGTTTAGGGTTTAGGGTTTAGGGTTTTTAGGGTGGGTTTAGGGGTTTAGGGTTTTAGGGTTTAGGGTTAGGGTTTTAGGGTTTAGGTTTGGGTTAGGGTTTTGGGTTTAGGTTTATGGGTTGGTAGGGGTTTAGGGTTTTAGGGGGTTTAGGGTTTAGGGGTTTTAGGGTTTAGGGTTTAGGGTTCTGGGGTTAACTTTTAGGGCTTGCGGGTTTGGAGTGTTTAGGTGTTTAGGGCTTCAGGCTTTAGGGCCAGTATCCTGCTTGCGGAAGGAGATCGTCGTCTTTACCTGTGAAGTACGTAAACTCAGGTCCATGGTGCATGGCCTGGGGAGTCTTCCTCAACCTCTGAACAAGGTTTAGGGTTTAGGGTTGAGGGTTGAGGGTTGAGGGTTGAGGGTTTAGGGTTAGGCGGTAAACCCCAACACCCTTTCATTTGGGGCGTGCGCGGGCCTTACCCCCAAGGTTGTACCCCCTGCGTTTGGGGACCCAATTTCAAAGATCCCTCAACCCTAAACTAAACCCTAAACCCTAAACAAGCACCATATTGGGAGTATATTCAGGGAGTTTCTTAGAGGGTACATCCTGAGGGCTCCCAGTCTGACTCCCCCGAGGTAGGGCGTATGTCGGTGGGAACGGCCGTTTCTTGGCCCTTTCTGCTGCGAACTACAACCCTAATCCACAAGGTTGTACAGGAGCCCAGAAAAAAAGATAAAGAAAGGAAACACAAGAAAAGAAACTGTTTGCTGACCTAACCCGAAACCCTAAACCCTAAACCCTCAGCCCTAAACCCTAAACCCTGAACCCCAGGGGGTTGCCCCATCATCAGCTGCAAGGACTTCGACGGCTTCTTGAGGCAACTCTGGGTTCTGAAGAGCCTGGGACACCATTCTGGGCCACCATTCCATGGGTTAGGGTTTGGGGTTTAGGGTTTAGGGTTTAGGGTTTAGGGTTTAGGGTTTAGGGTTTAGGGCTTAGGGCTTAGGGTTTAGGGCTTAGGGCTTAGGGCTTAGGGCTTAGGGTTTGGGGCGGTTTAGGCTTGGGGTTTAAAGTTGTTTTAGTGATTTGGGGTTTATACGGGTTTAGGGTGTAGGGTTTGAGGTTCAGGGTTGGGCTTTCGGGTGTAGCATTGGCCAGCTGAACGCAGTAGTGTGAAGACATGCCCTCCCAAGCGAAATTCGCAGTGAGCCAGACCAGAGCCAGATAAGCCAATTTATATTTTTGCGCCAGGCCTCAGGGCCGCTCAATTTCGTATTCAAGTATCAAGTTTTCTGCAAGTGGGGATTTCCGATTTTAGGGGTACTTTATTGGGGTCTCATTCTGCGGGGATCCATTTTTTGGGGATCTATATACATTGGGGGTCCCCTATTTTCGTAAACCTGTGTCAAGTGGGAGGTTTCGGCGCGTACCGTTTCCAATGCTCTCTCCCTCTCTCTCTCTCTCTCTCTCTCTCTCTTTTCAAAACAAACAAACATATATAGTTATAGAACTATGTAAAAATACTATATATATATGTAAATAAAAAAGTAATAAGAAATATAAATAAATGGAAAATTATATATATATATATATGCTCACAACCCCCCCCCCCCCCCGCCCCCTGAACTACCGTGAGGCCGTGTCGGAGTAAGAAATCCATACTTAGTCATAGGTATGAATTTAATAAAACCCTATTAATTGAACGAAAACCCTATGAAAATTAGTACGAACCCTATTAAAATTAGTAAGACTCTTATTGTTAATAGGAATCTTATTGAATTATTAGATAATGACTTGGAATCGTATTTGAGTCAGAGGAACGCTATATCAAACGTCATGGGAATGCTATTAAAATGTAGAAAAATAGACGGGCCCCCATGAAGAATAGTAGGGAGCCTGTGAAAATAAAAAGGGACCCTTTTTGAATTCACGGGAATGTGGGACTTCCATTAAATCTAAATAGGAATCCTATTAATATTTCTCTTAATCTTGTCATGATGAATTAGAATCCCATCCAATTTATGAGGAACCCCACTAAAATTCATAAGAACCCTTTTGCAAATCAAGAGGAATCTGTTAAATGAAGAGGGTCCTACCATCAATAGGAATTTAGAAGCAACACAACTAAAATCATAAGAACCCTATTGCAAATTAATAGGAATCCTTTGAAAATGAACTAAAGTTAATAGGAACCAATAGGAATCCTATAAGAATGAATATGAAGATTCATAAGAATATTATGAAATGGTAGAGGAGTCCTATTAAGATGGTTAGGAACCCTTTGACGTTAATCGGAATTTATTAGGAACCCCAGTAAAATTCATAAGAACCCTATTTCGCATTGATAGGAATCCTTTTACAATGAAGAGGAATCCTACTAAAATTAATAGGAACCAATAGGAATCCTACAAAATTCAATGTGGTTCCTTTCAAAATTTCTTAGGAATGGTATTCAAATTTCTAAGACTACCATTAAAATTACTTGGAGACGCACTAAAATGAATAGGCACCAATATGAATCTTAGAAAAATAATTTGATTTCCGAGGAACCCTAATGGAACTAAAAGAACCACTTTAACATTAAGAACCTTGCTGAAATGCATAAGAACCCTATTGAAAAGTATTAGGAATCCTTTAAAGAAACCTCTGAAAGTTCATATGAGTATAGTTAAATGAAAAGAAGTCCTACAAAGATAGTAGGAACCCTTTTACATTAATAGGAATAGGAATGCTATTGCTGAGATTAATATAAGACTGACCAAAACCAACGAGCCTCCAAGCATGCTGACACGTCCTGCTTCGAACCAAAACCGTCCATTGGACAGCTACATGTAGAGCTGAACGGTTCTGGCCCGAGAGAGGTACGAGGCAAAACCAAAAAAACAAAAAAGCAACCTTTTTTAGAGAATGGGGAGGGGATGTTGAAAAAGATGTTTTTTTGTTTTTGCCTCGTAAAAAGATGGTTTTGCATAGGAAAACCAACTTTTCCCTCGCAAAAAGATGGTTTTCCTTAAACCATCTGTTTACGAGGGAAAAGTTGGTTTTCCTATGCAAAACCATCTTTCACGAGGCAAAACCAACTTCCAAAAAAACAATCTTTTTTAGAGAATGGGGGGGGATTTTGAAAAAGATTGTTTTTTTGGTTTACCTCGAAAAAAGATTGTTCTTCATAGGAAAACCATCTTAACCCTCGTAAAAAGATGGTTTTGGCTACAAAAACCAACTTTGACCTCGTAAAAATGATGGTTTTGGAGCCAAAAACCAACTTTTCCCGCGTAAAAAGATGGTTTTCCTGAGGCAGACCAGACCAGAACCATCTTTTTACGTGGGAAAAGTTGGTTTTTCTGTGGAAAACCATCTTTTACGAGGCAAAACCAAAAAAAACATCTTCTTCAAAATCCCATCCCCATTCTCTAAAAAAGATGTTTTTTTTGGTTTTGCCTCGTAAAAGATGGTTTTCATAGAAAAACCAACTTTCCCCTTGTAACAAGACTGTTTTCCTGAGGCAGTCCAGACCAAAACCTTCTAGGGCCTGCGTCCGCATATGGTTGATAGGATTCGGGTTTAGGGTTTAGGATTTAGGGTTTAGGGTTGAGGGCTTAGGGCTTAGGGTTTAGGGTTTAGGGTTTAGGTTTAGGGGGCTATGGGCTCCAGGTTTTCGGGTTCAGGGTCTGCAAGTCTTCAAGGCTGCAAAATAGCGACCGAGAAGTCGTGTGTAGGAACTAGAACTTAAGACCCTTTATGGCTTAGGCTGCAGGGTTTTGGGAAGCTCGCAAACCCTAACTAGACCCCAAGCCCTTTCCATTGAAGCCACTGGAATCTCAGGAATGCGGCCGTACCTGGGCCGAAGCCTGCGCCACCCAGCGGCAACCGGCGATGGTAGAAAAAAGGGCCGCGTCAGATGACAGTATATGCCTTAAACCCCATATCTTTCAGCACATGGGTAGTTCTCTAAATGAGGGTCCCTTTTTTTGGTGTCCGGTATCTAGTACGGCTCAAATCAGACGCTAAGCGCGAAAGCCAAAACCTTTTTTGGGTTACGGTGGACACCCCTATATTCCTTCCTGGGGCTCTGTTTTTTTGTTCTCTGAGGCTTTCGGGCCATGCTTTAGCATTAGGGTTTAAGTGCTAGGTTTCGGTGTGGGGCTTACAGTGCATGCATGCCGCAATCGACGGCTCCACAGGTGTGTAGGGCACGACGCGTACAATCTGGTAGGCCACTTGACCCCTAGGGACACTCAAGAACGCCATTTACCTCAGATAAATGAGGTAGCAAGTGAGACGCCCCTAGCCCAATTCCCCCCCCCCCCCGGGTCCGAAAACAATGAACCCTAAGCCCTAACGTCTAGCTGAAGCATTTCTCCGTAGCTCCAACCCTACGCACAGGCTGGTGGGAGCCGCAGGCTCACCAACTACACAAGCCAAAAAGGTTTACCAAGACTATGCCCGTCTGACTCGACTCTATAAGCCCAAGTCGTACAGCTGACCCAAGGTACCCGGTCTGAGTTCTACTAAGCAATTAAGATCTTTGCAACCGAAACTCTTCCCAGCGATTTGCGCCATGGGACTCTCAGACTGCTTTTGCTTCCCTCGGCGCTGGTTCGGGCGCCCGCGCCTTGCCCCGATTGAATGGGGACTTGTGAGAATAGGGGTTGGGGTTTAGGGATCCCCTTTTTGGGGAGTTCCTATACTCAGGACAAGGATACAAGTGTAGTTCTTGATGTATGCGGGGGATCCCTATTTTGGGAAATGCCCATGTCCAGGCTGGGGATGGCGACGGCAGCGAATTATTGTCGAAGCTTATGTGTGTTTAGGCTTTCGTGCTTGATGCTTAGGGCCAGAATTCTGGCCCCTGACCCCTACCTGCTAAGCTTTATCCCTAAACCCTAAATCCTAAACCCTACTCCCAAGCCTTACACCCCCAAAGCCCCAAAAGGTTGCAGTTGAGGGTTTAGGGATTAGGATTTCGGGTTCATATAGACGGAAAGCCCTAAACCCCACACCCTTAGAAGCGCAGGACCCCGCGGCGGCCGCGCAGAAGTACCGGGGACAGCCCCAGAAATGGCAGCAGAAACAACAGCCGAATGAGCGCACGCTTCCCAGACAGTGAGGGGCTTCGGAAGGGGCTTGGGGGGGTTGTAGGGGTTGAGGGTTTAGGGAGTTTGGGGTTGAGGGTTTACCCTATTTGCTTAATAGAACCACCCAACAACCATAACATAGAAATCCCTATATTGCGCCTATAGGAAGAAAGAGGAGGTTCTTAAGCAAATGGTAGTCTCAGACCTGGCCAAAGCCAGCAAGTTGTTCGGATGTGTGGCTTTCCTCGATCTTCGGGCGTTTGGTTTAGGGTTTGTAGGGTTTGTAGGGTTTGTAGGGTTTATAGGGTTTATAGGGTTTATGATAGGCTAGATGCAGCATCGGGCAGGGTTGAGAGTTCAGGGGCTCTGCCAGCCCTCTTGAGCAGCTCAGGGTTTAGGGTTTAGGGTTTAGGGTTTAGGGTTTAGGGTTTAGGGTTTAGGATTCAGGGTTTAGGGTTTAGGGTTCAGGGTTCAGGGTTCAGGGCTCAGGGCAGGGTTCGGGGTTATCTAGGCAAAGGGATTACGCGCTCAGCGTGTTTTCTTTTGGGGTACTATGTCTGAGCAAAGGTTTAGGGTTTAGCGCTTAGGGTCCAGGAGGGGGCTTGGGCCGTGACTGACGGTCCCAACACTACCCCCTCAGCCCTGACAGTCCCAACACTACCCCCCAAGCCCTAACCCTTAACCCGAAAACCTGAACACTATACCCTAAACCCTACACCCTAAACCCTAAACCCTAATCACCCTACAACCCCCAACACTAACCGGGCATCCTTTCCCGCGAGTAGTTAGGCTTGCTCTTGAATGCCAGACGCAGTCAGGAAATCTTGGGGCCCTAAACTCTGAACCCTAAACCCTAAACCCTAAACCCTAAAACCCTAAACCCTAAACCCTGAACCCTAAAAACCCTCAGGGCTTGAAACCCTAAACAAACCCTAAACCCGAAACCCTGAGCCCTGCACCGGTTTAGGGTTTAGGGTTTAGGGTTTAGGGTTTAGGGTTTAGGGTTTAGGGTTTAGGGTTTAGGGTTTAGGGTTTAGGGTTTAGGGTTTAGGGTTTAGGGTTTAGGGTTTAGGCTCAACCCACAGCCTCCTGAGCCAATCCGCAGGTCCTCCGCCTGAACAACACGAAAGCCTCTGAGAAGAACAAGCGCCTCGTCTGCCATGTGGGTTTAGGGGACTCCTAAAGCCTAAACCCTAAACCCTAAACCCTAAACCCTAAACCCTAAACCCTAAACCCTAAACCCTAAACCCTAAACCCTCAACCCTAAACCCTAAACCCTAAACCCTAAAAAACCCTAAACCCTAAACCCTAAAACCCTATCTCCAAGCCCAAAAACCCTGAGACCCCCCCCCCCCCCCCAAACGCTTCGGGTTCAGGAGTTAAGGGTCCAGGGCTTAGGCTTTCCCTGGACCCGAACGACTTCAGCGCTATAAGCCTCACACATAGCGGGTTTTGGATTTAGGGTTTCCAGCAACCTGAAGCCCGCTACCTCTTAAGCCCTGAACCCAAACCCTTAAAACCCTACAAACCCATTAACCTCTAAGCACTATAAACCCTAAACCCTATGAACCCCAAACCCTAATCATCCTAAACCTATAAACGCCATAAACCCTGAACCCTAAAAGTATAACCCCCGTAAACCGGTTTACCTGAATGCCAAGGGCAATGAGAGCGTCTTCACCCTATAAATCTAAACCGGTCTACCCTAAACCCTAAACCCTAAACCCTAAACCCTAAACCCTAAACCCCGGTTTACTTGAATGCCAAGGAGCAATGAGAGCGTCTTCAAGCTGATGTTGGACTCTGTCACGAGTTCTGTTTCCGGCGGCCGCCTGCGCAAGGACGAGCCCTTTGGGCCTCAACCTGTGGTAGTTTAGACCCTAAGCCCTAAACCCGAAACCCGAAACCCTAAACCCGAAAGCCTGAACCCTAAACCCCAAACAGGGTCCAAGGCTTCGGGACTCGGATTGGTTTTAGCCTGAGGTTCCGGGGGCATGAGGTTGGGGAGTTCGCCTCAGGTTTCGAGCCTAAAACCCCCAAAAAATTGATTTAGGGTTTGGGGTTTAGGGTTTAGGGTTTAGGATAACAATTCTAGACCCTCTTTGGGGTTTAAGGTTAAGGGTTTGGGTTTGGGGCAGAAGCTCTGAACGCTGAGCGGCTGAGCCTCTAAACCCTCGTTACACCTCGACCCCAACTCCCCCATCCCAAGCCCCTGAGCGGCAACCCTCAAGGCCTAAAGTCTTCAACCCCCGCAAGACATGCCCTCAACACCGAAAAAGCCTATTCTCTAAACCCGAAACCCCCCTGAAAGCCCTAAACCCTAACCCTAAACCCTAAACCCTAAACCCTAAACCCTAAACCCTAAACCCTAAACCCTAAACCCTAAACCCTAAACCCTAAACCCTAAACCCTAAACCCTAAACCCTAAACCCCCCAAAAAGCCCTGCACCTTAAGCCTCTAAAGCCTCAAAATCCTACAGCTCTAACCCATGAAACTGAACCCCTAACCTAAGCCCTAAAAGCTCTAGACCAGAAACTGCCTGAACCCCTAAACCCTAAACCCTCAACCCTCAACCCTAAACCCTAAACCCCAAACCCTAAACCCTAAACCCTAAACCGAGGCCTCTTGAGGCAATGAGCAAGTGGATGGAGCGCACAGCAGACCCACAGGTGGATGTTTAGGGTTTAGGGTTTAGGGTTTAGGGTTTAGGGTTTAGGGTTTAGGGTTTAGGGTTTAGGGTTTAGGGTTTAGGGTTTAGGGTTTAGGGTTTAGGGTTTAGTTTAGGGTTTAGGGTTTAGGGTTTTGGGTTTAGGGTTTTGAGATGAGGTTCAGGGTTAAGGGTCGAAAGGTCTTATTAATAGTAATGCCCTTATGGCTCCTTTATACTTATACTATAATGACCCCCCAACGCCCTATTCGAATTTGTTTAGGCCCCCATATTAGGGTTTTGAAATGAGGGGATCAGGTTCGGGTTTGTTGGGGTTTAGGATTTGGGGTTTAGGCTTTGGGAGGGGTTCAGGGGTTTAGTCGGTTTGGGGTGTAGGGTTTTGAAATTAGGGTTCAGAGTTCAGGGGTTGGGGTTTTTTGAGGTTTAGAGTTTAGGGGTTTTGGGGTTTGGAGGTTTAGGGTGCAGGGCTTAGGCTCAGGATTCAGGGTTTAGGCTTCAGGGCTTCGAGCTCGGAGTACACATAATTTGCTGTTGACCTAAACCTGAAGCCCGAAACCATAAACAGTGGCTGGAGGTCGGCGGGTCTACGGGTGCTAAAGCGCCGGTGGGGTTAAGAGGTTAGAGCTGCAGGAATGGACATTTTTGGGGCTAAATGATTTGGGAGATGTAGGGTCTTTTCCGAAACCCGAAGCCCGAAACCCGAAACCCTAAACCCTAAACCCTGAACTAAGCCGCAATGGGTTTAGGGATGACTGTTCAGAGATTTGGGATACTTTGGTGTTTTGAGGGTTGAACGCTTGCTCCTTGGCGGAGGGGCATGGGACGCTTGGATATGAACGGATTTTCAAAATGGGTTGGGGGTTTTGGGTTTAGGGTTTAGGGTTTAGGATGAGAACCGAATTTTTCAAACATAGTTTTGGATCATGGCTTGTATCAAGTCAAGGCTTGTTTTAGTGTGCCAAGATTGTGAGGTTGTAGGGCTTTTGGGTTGTAGGGTTTAAAGGTTCAGGGTTTAGGGGCTTAGGGGCTTAGGGGCTTAGGGGCTTAGGGGCTTAGGGGCTTAGGGGCTTAGGGGCTTAGGGGCTTAGGGGCTTTAGGTTTACAGGGTGGCGTTTAAGGGCCTTAGGCTGTGTGTT